AGGAGTGTGTTTTGTTTTGTTTTGTTTTTTCATTAAAAGAGACATGTGCCCAGCATGCACGGCTCAGTGGCTGAGCATCGGCCTATGATCCAGGAAGTCACAGCTGGACTCCCAGCTCAATCCCCGACCGAGCAGGAGGCAGCCGATCCATGATTCTCTCTCATCATGGATGCTTCTCTCTCTCCCTCCCTCTCTCCTCCTCTCTGAAATCAGAAAAAAAAATGTATTTAAGAAGAGAACTGTCGTGCAATTTAAGGTCAGGGCCCTACATCGTCCCACCCCGTTCACAGCGCGTGCCCGTGGGGGCAGTCCTTTCTGAGGACTCTAGACGCTGGCTCTCCAGGACACCTGGTCTGCCCGGCCCGCCCTGGCTCTGCTGCTCCCAGGCAGGTGTCCACCCTCAGCCCAAGTCCTCCGAGGACACTGTTCATGACTTCCTCTCCTCCAGCGGCTCGCACCGCACAGGCAGCATCACTGCCTGCAGGCGACCGTCGGTGGGCTCACACCGCCTCTACTCAGCGGCCAGCCTGGCCCCCGCATCCCTAACAACGATGACCGCAGCCTCCTAGGCCCACAGGCACATGGAGGCATGAAGTCCAGGGAGCGTCCACGCCTTTCTCTCTCTGGCTCTCCCGGCGGACCCTGTTTGTGTCCGTGCATCTAAGGGTTAGCCACAGTGTCATAGCCTCAAGAAGCAGAGCAAGAGGTATACACACAGAGCATATTTCCAGCCACAGCTCCTGGAAACACGCACTTTCTGTGCTGAGTGAGTGAGAAACCGCCAGTGCCCTGCGGCCGGCATCGCCCGTCTGCCTGACGGCCCGCCCTCCGTTCTCTCTCCCTCTCTGCCTCACTCTGAGCAGCCGCTGGGACTCCACACTCCTCGGGGAGGTGGGCACGGGGAAAGCGAGAGCCATGTTCAAGGTCTTTGAGGCTCCCGCTGGCCTATCACAGCGGCACTTCTCAGCTTCGCTGGCACACACACACACACACACACACACATGCATGCACACACGCGTGTGCCCCTGCGAAGTTGGCTGCTCAGTCCCCCAAGGGCCTGGTGCTGTCCCTGTGCAGACCAGCAACGTCCTGAAGAGCTCAGAGGCCAGCACTCCGCAGATGGTGGGATGAGGTGAATCAGGACAGCCTGATGGGACGGAGGAGGCCGCTGGCCTGGGAGCCCGGGCATCGGCGCTGAGCCCGCGTCCGGGGGCTCTCCCCTGTGGGCGGTGGGTCCTCGGGATGGAGGGCTGGCCAGGGCAGCGCCTGAATGAGCTTGTTCTGTGCGTGACGGAGCGAATCGGCGAATCGGCGAGAAGCCGATGCCGGCCGAGGGACGGGAGTGTCACGGGTATCAGAGCTGCTGCATGAGGCACTTTCTGTGGCGACCACGGTAAGACAGGCCTTCCTTCAGCAGCGGCTCCCAGCCTGCTTGTGGCTCCGCGCCCCCACCCCCACCCGCACCCCGTCCCAAGCATCTCTAAAACCCTGATGCCCATAATTCTTGTTCTTCACAAGGCGAGCGCCTAGTCACATGGAAGAAGCCTAAAAGGCCATGAACTTGGTCTAAACACGCTTCCAAAGAACATGGCATCCACGGAAGAGAAAAAAAGAAAAGAACGAAAGGACAGCTGAAGGACTGAGGAAGAAATCACTAAGAAATTGTTAAAAAAAAAAATAGTAATACGAAGTGATATGAAAAAATAGCAAATAAAGTTTCAAAACATATAATAGAGAACTGAAATGCATAAGTATGTCATAATATATATTTATATACCGCATATGAGGCACTAGAGCTGTAAGAAATGCAAAACATTCGCTGTTAATCATTCTCGAATTGCCCCCCTTAAAACTCAGATCGCTCCCCTGTGAGGCATGATCCCCCGTGGTAACCACCACTCTACCGGTAACTGACAGCAGCCCTTTACACAGCCACTCGCTGATCAGACCAAGAGGGCCCACTGAAAGGGAAGAGGGAGTCTGTGCCCTGGCCGGTTTGGCTCAGTGGTCAGAGTGTTGGCCTGCTACCCAAAAGGTCAAAGGTTCAATTCCCGGTCAAGGGCACGTACCTTGATTGCAAGTTGGACCCCTAGCCCCAGTCAGGCCTCGAGTGGGAGGCAACTAGTTGATGTGTCTCATCTCACATCAATGTTCCTCTCACCCCCACCCCCAACTCTCTCTAGAAATCAATGGAAAAAGAAAAAACACCCTCAGGTGAGGACTTACAAATAATTAGACACATCTGCATGCGTGTGGGCATCTTTACTTCTCATAGTATGCAGGTTTTTCCCCCCAAAAGTTTCTTTTTAACTGCCAAGTGCCTAAAAAGTCTGCCCACTTGAGACATTTGAGCAATCCAGACAAGGGCGGTGGTCAGCAGTGACCGGACAAAGCCCCCAGCAGGGAGGGAGGGCCCAGCGTCCCGGCAGGAACTGGCCTGTCCTGTGAGCATGGGTCTAGCACGGCTCACCTCCCCCGAGGCGGTCTGACAGCAGACTGACCGTACAGGTACCCTCCTGCCACCGCCTCAGCGCGTCCGGACTCTGCTCCTGCTCACACACCAGGCGCCCTCCCTCCCCCGACGGGGCCAAGCAGCTCCTGAAGGGGCCCCGGTGGGCCTCTCCCCGTGGCCCGCCCCTCCAGAACCCGGTCCTCCACAGGGGAAGCCTGCTGGGGGTTCGCCTGGGACTTCACCCCACTGACCTGGGCACCTTCTCTCTGCTCCACAACACCCCCACCACACGCCCAGCCCCACACAGACACACACACACACACACAGAGATACACGGACACACAGAGACACATACACACACATACACACACAGATACACAGATACACAGAGACACAGAGACACACACATACACACACAGAGACACACACATACACACACAGATACACACAGAGACACACAGAGAGACATACACACACAGATACACACACAGAGACACACACAGACACACACAGATACACACAGAGACACACAGAGAGACATACACACACAGATACACACACAGAGACACACACAGACACACACAGAGAGACACACACAGACACACACAGACACATAGACACACACAGAGACACAGATATACACACACAGAGAGAGACACAGATACACACAGAGACACACAGAGACACACACATAGACACACAGAGACACAGAGACACACAGAGACACAGATATACACACACATAGACACACACAGAGACACACACACACACCCCCGGAGCCGGAACCACCACCTGCAAACAAAACCTCATCACTTCAAGAAACGAGTCCCATCGGATGCCTGCACCCCTGTCCCCCAGCACCCGCCCTCCCAGGGCCACGCTGTCACAGGGAGAGGTGGCAGCCTGCAGCCGGCCCACGCGGGCGGCTGTAAACAGTACACGTGGATTTTTTAAGGAAGGGATTGACCAGAGGAGCAGGAAGGCCAGGCCTGAGCACTGACAGCTCCGCTCCGGCCCTCCCATCACAGCAGCTGTCTCGCAGGTGCCAGTGTCCACGGGAAGGCATCCTGGCTGCAGGCAGCCCTGGTGTCCAGACCCCATCCCTCCTCCACGGCCACCTCTCTGAGCGGTCAGCCCTGCAGGTGGGGCGGGGCTGCAGACACTGGGCACTGGGCGCTGCACCCACGGGTGGGGGGGGGGCACCGGAGGGGGCTCTGCTCAGAGACCAGGGCCCATGCCCAACATATCCGGCCCAGCAGCCAGAAGGCGCGGAGACCGGAGCTGGTCACGCTGTCCCTGCGATCTCCACCCGCCCGGCCGGGAGGCAGGTCCGCCGGGAGGGGAGTGGCCTGCCCGGTCCCGGTAGGGCCAGGCCAGCACGCCGGCGGCTGGGTGGGCACCGGACAAGTTTCCGCCGCGAGGAGGGGCTGGACCGGGTGTGGGTGCCGGGAGAGGAAGGCGGCCCGGGGAGGGAAGGCGGCCCGGGGAGGGAAGGCGGCCCGGGGAGGGAAGGCGGCCCGGGGGAGAGGCGCCAGAGCGGGCTCCGGAGGCGCAGACAAAGGCTCGGCGCACGCGGTGATGCTGCGCCCGGCCCCGCGCAGGGCCCGAGGAGCCGGTGCGGAGTAACGGTGTCCCCGCCGCGCCCGGACCCACCTCACCTGGCTCGCCCTCCATCCCCTCCAGCGGCGGCGAAGGCGCTGCCCTCCTGTGCGCGCCCGGCGCCTCCGGCCCCGCCATCTCCGCTCCCTCCGCTCCCTGGAACCTCCGCCCGCTCCCTCCCCTCCCCGCGGCACGCCTCTGCCCCTGCCCCTGCCCCTGCCCCCCGCACCCCTCACCCCGGGCTGGGGGCGAGGTGGCCGGCCCGAACCCGCGGCCCGCCGCCGCCTCCGCCCCAAGACCATTGTCCTCGCCTCCCCGGAGCGCCGCGGCCCCGACCGGAGAGCGGTGCGGGGGGTGAGGCACCGGCAGCCGGACACCAGCCGGTCCGCGCTCCGGGGGGGCACAGGCTCGGGGTGGCACAGGGTCAGGGGGTGGACAGGCTCCGGGGTGGCACAGGGTCAGGGGTGGACAGGCTCCAGGGTGGCACAGGCTCCGGGTTGGCACAGGGTCAGGGGATGGCCAGGCTCCTGGAGGCACAGGGTCAGGGGGTGGACAGGCTCCGGGGTGGCACAGGGTCAGGGGGGGGCGGGGACACGGAACCCGGGGAACACGAGGGAGCTGCACCTCGGGGCTCGGGGCTCGGACCCGGCCAGCCCCTCCCAGGGGGTCTCCGGGGACCCGCCTCCCGGGGAGAGGGGCGCTCGGTCGGTCCTCCAGCCCAGGGCCCGGGCGGAGGAGGAGCCGGGGCCGGTCCGCGTTGGGTGCGGACAGCGCCGGGGACTGTGGCCGGGCGGCCCGGGCGGCCCCGCGGACAGCGGGTCGGGTTCTGGAGCCTCCGGACCGCCCTGCCCGGCGCGCGGCGCGGGGAAGCCGGGGTCCCGCAGGCGCCGGGGCGCGGGGAGGGGCGGGGGCGGGGGCGCGGGCGCGGGCGCGGGCGCGGGGCACTCACTGGGGCTCAGCAGGCACTCGGTCAGCCTTCGGAAGCAGCTCGCGTGGTGCGAGGGTCCATCTGCCATGGCGGGGCCGCCGCGGGGTCCGGCCGCCGCCTCCCCGCCGGGGCCGGGCCGGAGCCGGGCGGGAGCCGGGGCGGCGGCGGGCGGGCGCGGCGGGGCCGGAGCCGCGGAGACCGGAGCGCCGGGCGAGGAGGGGCCGCCGCCCGCCGCCGCCGCGGGGACCGCCGCCGGGGCCGCTCAGCGGAGCTGCCTCCGGGCCGCCGGCATCGCCGCCGCCTCTCCCGCCGCTGCGCCCGCCCCTCCGGCAGCGGCGGGAGGCGGGAGGCTGATGGGGAGGAGGGAGGAGGGAGGAGGGAGGGGAGGCGGCGGGAGGAGGGGGCCGCGGGGGCGGCGGCCCGGAGCGCGGGGGGAGGGGAGGGGAGGGGAGGGGGGAGGCGGGCGCAGGGAGCGCGGCCCGGGACCCAGGCAGCCAGGCCCCCGCGGGGTGGGGCGGGGCGCGCTCGGTCGGCCGCGCCGGGGCTCCGGGCGGAGTCGGCCGGAGCGGGGCCGGAGCCAGGCGGGTCCCGGCGGCGGGCAGGGGGGCCTGGGGGCGGGGAGCGGCGGCGCCTCGCGGTTGGCCATGGCCCTCCCCTCCGGAGGCCCGGCCCCCGGCTCCGCCCCGCAGCCCTGCCCTCCGCGGCCGGCCAGGCCGAGCCCGTCCGGAGCTCCTCTCCGTCTCCGCGCCCCTCGCGGCCCAGTCCTCACCCCGCGTCCACTCTGGGGCGAGGGCCCGGCCTCGGTGCCGGCGCGCGGTCCGCGTTCCCCGGCGGCGGGGCTGGAGCGCGGCGTAGGGGGTGCGCGTCCGGCCGCCCCGGCCCCGGCCCCGAGCCGCGAGGAAGGCGCCGCCGCCCGGGAGGCGGAGGCGGAGGCGGTGGCCGTGGCTGTGGCCGTGGTGGCGGAGGCGGAGGACCCAGGGGCGCAGCTCCCACGCCGCGGGGGCGCCCACGCAGCGCGCAGGCTCCCGCACCCGGACCGGCGGACGGGGCCACGTGGGCGGGGCCCGGGGCCAGGGGCCACTGTGCGGCCTCTCTGCGGCCCCCTCCGCGCCGGACGGAGCCCCCGGCCTGGCGGCGGCCTGCGGCCCGCGGAGCTGTGCGCGGAGGGCCCTCTCCCCGGGGTTCACACTGGACGCGGGCTGGGGTTTGCCCCGCACAGGGTCCCAGTACACGAAGGCGCAGACAGGCCTTCCCCGCTCCCTCAGGCCCCCGCCTCCACGGGGGTTCCTGTGCCCGGTGACCGAGAATGGGAGGGCAAACAGGGCTCAAAACTCCGGAATCCGGACCCCAACGTCCCGAGGCTCCCCTGCCGGCCTCTGGGAGCCGGTCCTTGCTCTCCCGCCTGAATCCAGGCTGCGCTGCCGCGGACACGGGCCCCGGAGGGCGCTGAGCGAGGAGCCCGGAGCGCGGGGCGCCGGTGTCCCTGCGGGCCGGCTGCATGGGGAGCGCGGCGGCACCACCGCCGCCGGGTGCAGTGCGGGCGGCGGGACGGGCTCCCCGGGCTCCTGGGCCAGGTCACCTGCCGGGACCGGAGCGCGCCCAGGCCGGCGGGACAAAGGGCGAGCCGTCCCCTAAGCCGAGGCGTTGGCGAAGGCGGCGGCGCCCATCCCCGGGCCGGCTGGCACGCGCCCTCCAAGATTTCGTCTCTCCAGCCGGTTCCCGGTGTTTCTCTGGGGAAGCTGGCCGCAGAGTCCCCCCTGGCGAGGCTTCGCCCGCTCCCTCCAGACGCCGAGCCGGGAGTGCGTGTTGGCATCGGAAGCCAATGGGCAAGCGGGGCTCCGGACACCGCCAGGCGCTCCCGCTGCGGATCGCGGGGAGGGAGCGTGGGCGCCGGCCCTGGCACCAGGGGCCGGTCTCTGAGCCTGGAGGACGGGATCCAGGCGCTCTTATCTCATTCAGGGGGGCTGTGCCGTTCTGCTTTGTTTTGGGGTGAGGGCGGCCAGGGAGCGGAGGAGAGGGCCCTGTCCCCGGTCCGGGCTGCCCGGCCTCCCGGTGCTGCGCTCTCCGGGCAGCGCTCCCCTGACACCGGTAACTCCCGGGAAGGCGGGCTCCGTGCGCCCATCTCCGTAGCTGCCCACCGGCCCTCCACTTCCCAGTTCCGCTGTTCATCCCTGTGCACGCGGCATGCTGCTTCTTGTCGTTGACGTCCCCTTGGCTGCCTTTTGGGGTCACTAACGTGACTTCCCGCCGCAAACACGTTCGCCTGGAGCTTGGATTGCAGCCTCGGACCTGTGCGGGCGGGAAGCCATCCCATGTGGTCCTGCGGGTCTGTCCCATCGGGGCGCGCTCTAACACACTTCACCGACCCTTTTCTGGACCCAAACCGCTACCTATCCTCCCGCGCTCCCAAAGCTTGCGGGAAGGCGCGGGCTTCCTGGACAAACCGGAGAGAAGAGGCGGGACCACGGGGAAGAGCAGAGGGCCGCCAGAGCGGGTGCTGGCTGCGCTTTGATGGCATTTGTTATGCGCGCTCCCCGCTGCACCCCGAGGCCGGTTCTGTTGCTCTGAGTGCAGGGGGCGCCCGGCCACTTTCCTTCTCGGAAACATGCAGCAGAGGTTCCCGTGCCAGACACCGGGCGCAAGCGCGCCACTCCCGCCGCGCTCAGGTGCCCCCACACCGGCGGGGAGTTCCCTGTGGATGCCTTGCCTTCCCTTCCCTCCGGCCTCCCGGAGTGTGTCCCAAAAGGAGGAGATGGCCCCTGCACACATTGGTCCCCAACTAAGAGAACACAGCATCCGGCGGTCCCCATACGGTTTGCCGGGTGGCCTCAGGTCCGGTGGCATCCGATCGCTGTAGGATTTCAGCGCCTCCGGAATCAGGGTTGTAACTCCGTGGGGCGGTGACCGATGCCACAGGAGGGCTCTTTGTGAAATAAATGACCTTCCTCGTTCCAGCCCGCTCTGCAGAGAGTGTGAAGAGGGCAGTTCGACCCCCGTAAAAAGTGCCAGGACGGGGGAGGTTCAGACGGGTAGGTCAACCTTGCCAGACAGCGTCTCCCCAGGGACAGGATGAAGACGGAATGGATGCAGGGATGAAACCTCCCCGTTCGTCTGTCCATGCCGCCACGGGGACATCCTGATTATCCAAACAGACTTCCAGGCATTGTTATTTTCAAACAGAGTCCTGTCTATATTTGTTTTAGTGCTTTATGCATAATAATTCACTTCTAGAGAAAGCAATATCCACCCGATCATGATCTACCAGTAATCTGAATTCTGTGTTCCTAAAAACATTTTAAAATAGGGTCAAGGCAGATCCCCAAGACATTTTAAAATTATGGTTTTCCTCCTCCCGTTATGAGATTTCTTTATCTTTTAACCGACTACCCCTGTTAGCAGCCTAAGAGGGAGGTTTACAACAAGTCCGATTAGCATTTGATGAATTCTGGTCAATAAGCAGGTTTGTGTCTTAATTGATTTTATTTTACAACCTTAGTGCTTGCTGCTGTCAATTTCACGTCGCTCACTGATTCTTGAATCTCCTGTGTTCTCTTTCGAAAATGCTTGTAAACTTTGTAAAATATCAAACCAAGCTTGATTCGATGGAGAACTCGTCTACCTATACAGATAAAGTCTAAACAAAAGCCACATTTTTCCCCATTGGTTTTAATACTTGTGACTTATTTAAAATATAGTCATCTGAGCACAGCAACTCCTAAGCAGGCAGCAGTGGAAACAGGTGGGGCTCACCTGTGAGGCTTTCCCATGTCATTGCTACAAAAGGACCAGCGTGTTGTCACGAGGTGTGACCGCTCACGTCCCACGGACGAAGGAGGTCAAGGATCCCTCCTCAGGCAGGCTCTGCAGGGAGCTCAGTGGCCGACACCCCACTCCCTCCCACACCACGGGACCGTGTCACTAGCCACAGGTGTGTCTGTAGACAGCTGCCTGCAGCACTTCTCACCTCCGGCACCAGAGCCTCCCTCCTCGTCTCCCGAACGGATGCCTCTCATCTGTGCGTGTGAGCAGGTGGCACTGACCCTCTTCCCAAGAAGCTTCCTCGCGGATAAGTTGCACTGGCGACTCCATTCTAAACAGCCGATGTCAGGGCAGGCTTGGGGGTCCCCCTGTCCCCTTTCACAGAGGCCGGGACACAGGGGGCACTCAATGGTTGCTGCCTGCCCATCACCTGCGTGCCAACTGGTTACACGTCCTATGGGTGTGGATGCTAACAAACCTCAAGTAAACTGAGGGATGCCTCCTTACAGTATTGCTGTAGTGGAGCCTGCAAAGGAAGGGGGCTCCTATCATTTTAGTTAGAAAAATATTATAAAGTCAACCCACTGAGCAAGACACCTGTGAAAAATAGACCAAAGGTGATTTTTTTAAAAACCACGCCAGCAACCCCTAATATTTCTAGAGCTTCTGTTTCACTTAAGTTATTTTTATGAATTCAAACAAATTCACTATAAAATAACCTACAATCTTACTGTTGCTTTATGTTCTAAAACAACTATCTTCATTTGAAAAGTAGTGTTTCCTTGTCAATGGCAATATTGATAATAGGCAGGTGGTTAAAACATTAATGTTCCGAGTGAATCTTAAGTCTCCTGCCTTCCAGTGGGGGAGGTGAGGCGTGCCTGTGATGAATGGTAAGAGCCAAAGGTGAATGCTCTTTAATTAAACGCTCAGCGTCTCACCCCCTGGAAGTTCACTCTGCTAATGGCTGTGGGAGCCCCGAGGACCGGGCAGTAAAAGCCGCTCCGGTTACGTAATCGATGCCACATTCTTGTGGGAACCCTGTGAGCACGGAGTCTCTTACATAACCGGGCCGCGTCAGGACACAACACTAAACAACGAAGGTGCTGCCATTGAAGAAAAACCGGGACTCGCTCTGGAAGCCCGTGAGGGTGTGGCATGCTGAGGCGGTTTTTGTTTCTCAGAAGCATGCACGTCAGACGAGAAACGGAGACCTGGTGAACCAGCGCTTCCACCAAACTTTCCCAGGTCCGGTGTCCATTCCGTGTAAGACCGCGCTTTCGGAGCCGATAGACGCCGTGTGGTAGCACCGTGTGCAGATGTTGTATAGAAGGCGCCTGAGAGAGAGACGTTTCTTTAAGAAAGTCGAGCCCCATGGAAGCATTTGAGTGGAC